CCTTCCCACTTATCCCAGATCCCTTCATGTAGTACCCTGGGGGCCCCAGGCTGGGTTTCATGTAAATCCCTAGGTATAAGCAGGAGCGATGTCCTCATTTAGCATCTGGTGTCTATGGGCATTTGTGAAGGTGCCTGACTGCTGTGGGTGCTAAAGGAATCAGAAAGGGCCGATGTGGCTGTGTTCCCAAAGCGAGGTTGGTCATGTATGGTCCAGAGACAGGGAGCATCCCTCCAACTGGTGGATCAAAGAAGGCTTCCTGGAAGAAGAGGTCAGTGTGTTTTTATCTTCAGGAATGGTTAGAATTAGGGTGGACACAGACACAAAAGGCTGGACAGATACTCTAAGCAGAACGAGCAGAGGTGCTGATGAGAAGTAATGTCCCAGAACCCCAAGTTAATCATTTTGGTTGGAAAGGAGAGAATGCAGGTGATGACATGGTTAGTAGTGGTCTGCACCAAGACTCCAAGGCCATGGTACTTTTGAATGTATTTTGAAGGCAAAGTGGAACTAGCAAAGGCTCCAGGGCACCTTTCACACTATAGTTGATGAGGCATTCTTTGCCTAGACCACAATGGCAATGTGGACCCTGGAGTTGCAGTGGAGCACTTCTGGGGCAAAGTGTTGCAGCTCAGGGTTCCCCTGAGCCACAGTCAGCAGGCATCAAGGTGGAATGTAGACTAGGTGGGTGGCAGCATGAATAATTTCAAGACCAATCACCTGACTGGCATTCTATCATCATCCAATCAACAGAGATTTTCATGCTTCACCATCTTAACCAACACAAGTAGCATCATCACCCCAAAAGTGGCAACCATCCCTTCCGCACTATCAATACATTCAGAAGGCCTCCACCATCACCAACAGTTCTGACCCAAGTCCAGTGACAACAACCCCAAGACCCAGCATCACCACCATCACTATCCCATCCTTTCCAGACAGAGTACCATAGTTATCAATAACAGCACCAATCAAACCCCACCATTCCCACCACCAAGGGCCACCATGGAAGAGCGGGGGCACACAGTCAACATATTCCACCTTGATGCTGACCAGACTGAGGGAAGAGATGAGCTGAAAAGGGGGCGACGTGTTTCTCCTGGCCACACCATCCCCCCCATGAAGCCATGAGCATTTGGGTCTAGTTTGGTTTGATTTGATTTCTGCTTAGATGTTTAAATGTAATTATCACCAAGGCAGGAGGAAACTGTAGATCTTAGAGCAGGCTGGGGTGATCTCACCAGCACTGTCTTTAGCAACGAAGCCAGGGCCAAGTAACTTCTCTGCAGTGTTTGCTCTATGATGCCCCTGTTAGGACGCTTCTGGGGGCTCGTGGAACTTCAGGTAGAAACTGACCTGGAATAAGATCCTTCAGGATACCCTTCGATGCCTCCTCTGCCTTCCCTAGGCCCTGGCTTCTTTGAGTCTTTAGACAGTGGTCCTAGAGAGGATGCCACTCAAGAAGAACCCCAAGCAGCAGTCTCACTCACATGCACACCCAGATACACCTGGTGGTGATCATTGGCCTGGTGCTGTGGTCAATGATGAACTTCCTAGGGCCCACATCCAGCTCCAACTTCATGCCCTGGAATGCAGGGTTTTTTGGAGATATGGCTGGGGAGAGCAGCAGGTAAGATGGCCTAACAGTGAATTGGAGCCAAGGACACAGGCAAAGCCAACTTCCTATTTGTCCTGCGGAATACTGTCCCCAACCTGGACACTGTCAGTGCCCTTGTCCTGTGCAGTATCCTCATTTCCCAGCAGCCTACTGGAAGTGTGGAATAGAGCCATGGAGCACAGATCAAGGAGGCCAGTGTTCTGTGTCAGCCCAAGCCATCGTCTGCCATACCTGCCCACACTGAGAGGAAGGTCTGAGCAGCCAGCTCAGTGGTGTGGCTTCAGAGACTGCAGCTACTCCTCTGGGGCCGTCACATCACTGGCATGGCTTCCAGAAGCAAGGTTCTTTGACAAGCAGCTCATGGAAGAGTCAGGGCCAGGCACGGCTGCACGCCTGCAAGCTGGGCTACCCAAGCCTGCCTTTTTCTGAGCACTAAGTCAGGGAAGACCTGGGCAGGATGTAGCCACTGCTCTTGCCCATCCCGAAAGCTTCCCACACAGTTATGGAGAAGCATGGCACTCTCTCCCATGAGGGTAGTCTACCCTCAACCTTGTCACTTCTCCAGCTCTATTCTTCTGTGACCTCTCACATTATTTCATGCCCTTTTTACCATACACCTCACCAGATGGAGGAAAGCAATTCACTGATGCTTCTGCAAACAGCTCAGGGTCCGCTTGCATTCCTATCTTGAGCAGACCCCGGTAGTGCCAGCTACTCCAAGTGTGGCCCACAGACCAGCAGCATCAGCATCACCTGGAAGCCTGTTAGAATGTGGACTCTCGGCCAGGCATGGTGGCTCATGCCTATAACTCCAGCACTTTGGGAGGCCGAGGCAGGCAGATCACCTGAGGTCAGGAGTTTGAGGTCAGTATGGCCAACATGGTGAAACCCCATCTCTACTAAAAATACAAAAATTAGCCGGGCATGGTGGCACATGCCTGTAATTCCAGCTACTTGGGAGGCTGAGACAGGAGCATCTCTTGAACCCAGGAGGCGGAGGTTGCAGTGAGCCGAGATTTCGCCACTGCACTCCAGCCTGGGCGACAGAGACAGAGCGGGACTCCATCTCTGAAAAAAAAAAAAAAAAGGAAATGTGGACTCAGACTCTCAGCCCTGTCCCAGACCTACTCAACTAGGACTTCATTTTAACAGGATCCCCAGGGGCTTCAAGCACACACGGAAGTTTGCAAGGTGTTATAGTGGCAAAGGCTCAAGCCCTTTTCTGCCACTTTGCAGCTTTGTGATGTTTTACTAGAGACATGATCTCTCTGGACCTCAGATTTCTCATCTACAAAATGAGGGTCACAATCCCCATCACTCAGGGAGGTTGAAAGGATAAAATGGAGTGATAGGGTAATTTCTTATACTGTAGCAAGCTCAATAATGGAAAGTATTGTTATTCTAATCATTTCCAATAAGAATAGTGCCTTTTATTGGGGAAAGATTCTACTTGGTTTATTTCTTCCTCTATGAGGTACTGGCGAAGGATTCAAATCAAAACAACCTTCAATCAGATGCTGCTATTCTTACTGATGAGTTGTAGGACCTTGAGCAACTGAATTCTCTTTGTTACCATTTCCTCATCTATTAAAGAGAGTCCATGATACCCTATCAGAGGGCTGCTGTGAGGAAGTAAAGACATCATAATGAATGCCTGGCGCAAAGCATGAGATCAATAAACAAACTGCATAGTATGGGGAAGTCGTTCCCACCTGCAGGAGCTCTATTTATCCAGTTGCTGTTGTTGCAAATCCAAATACAAGTCAAAGAGAAAAGAATGTGCATTGCTTTGCTTTCCTATAATTTAATTTCTATTCTCTGCCCACCCCATTTCACAGGTAGCAACCCAGCTCTGACTGCTCTTGTCTTCCTAGAGTGGGTCTAGGGAAGAAATGCTTGCAGAATGCCAAGGCACTCAGGGTGGGGGCGTGTGGGCACACCCTGGTCCTCTGTCAGATTCTGCTTGCACTGGCATCTGCGGAGACAGCCCCATCCCATTTGGTCCACAGAGTGGACAGAGTGATCATCTTTCTCTTTTTCAGTTACAAGGTCTTTCAGATCTGCAGATGCTCAGGACCATGTTCTAGTCACTCTTGGGTGCATGACAAATCCTCTACGGCACCCAGGCCACACAGAGGCATGGGGATCTTTGGGCTATTTCAGGTCTTCCTGGCCCCTCTACATGGGCATGGGGAACCCTGGGGTCCTGCCACTTCCCCAGGGTTGACCTTGAAAAGGGGCACAGGGGCTTCTATTCTTGGATCCCCATGCCACATTGCCCACTTGCGTCCAGGTAACCTTGCTCTGCCTGGCATGGTAGCTTTCAGTCATGTGGGTTGTTGGTGCCCTGAGTCCTTTGGAGCCCAAAGCCCAGGTTCTCACAACCCCAGAGCCTAAGCCCTTGGCACTCAATTATCTTCCCGCTGCTTTTTTTGCTGCATCCTCCCTTCCCAAGGTAGCATATGCCCCTGAGTGAATGGGGAAGGATGAAAACAGGATCAGGGAGGAACTGGGTAGATAATTCCATCAGCTTTTCTACCACACTATGTTTTGCTGAGAAAGAAAAATTAGGGAATACAGAAAAAATTGAGGAGTAGGGGTGGAACATTCCTTCAGGATTGAAAAAGTTTTTGATGTTACTGGGACCCTCTTGTGGTCTGAGCCTTTGCTCCTGGGATCCCGGAGAAGTTCCTTCCCTGAACTGGAAGACACACTCTCTGAGGATCCTGCTCTGTTTGCAAGGCAGGTGGTATTTTCAGCCCAGCCTGACTCTGCTGCAGCCACCTGCCCCCACACAGAGGGGACCCACAGGGTCTCCAGCCTCCCTTGACCTGTCTTTTTGGTCCTGCCCCATCAGCACCCCTATTGAGCATGCGCCGGTGTGCACCAGCCAGGCTGCCACCCCACTGCTGCCCGCTTCCGCCCAGCCACCTGCTGCTGCCTCTCCCAGTGCGGCTTCGCCACCCCTGGCCACAGCTGCTGCTCATACTGCCATCGCCTTCGCCTCTGCCACAGCCCCTGCCTCAAGCCCCACCAACAGTCCAAGGTAACTGGCCCACAGGTGCCGGGCCTGACCCTGGGGAAGGGAGGCAGGAGACACCCCACTCTGGGTCCCCCTGTGGCCAGCTATGTCCAAGGTAGTTAGGGCCCATGGGCCTGGAGGAAGCCAAGGCCAGCGCTGCTTGGTGCAGAGTGTAAAGGGGAAGCTGAGGATGAATTTTAGGGCTGTGCACCACTGTGGCAGGGACTGTCACTCTGCTCCCCAGGGACACATACAACAGTGAGAGAGGTAACAGTCTCTTTCTCTCTCTCTCTCTCACACACACACACACACACACACACACAAATACACACACTCATATACACACAGATAACAAAAGGGGACTGTGTGGAAAGTCTTTGTTCCTGGAATTCAAATTAGGTAGAATAAAGGTTGTCTTTGTGGGCTGGAGAAATCAAGGAGGGCTCCCTGGATGAGGGAGCGTTGAACTGGGCATGGAAGGCAGGTAGGATTTGGTCAGAGAGTTTAGCCATGAACTTCCCACTTCCCCTCTGCTCTCTTCGGAGAAGGATGCTAACACCAGAGACACCTGGTATAATACGATTTGAAAGTAAGCTCCACAGCTTACTGCATGTAACCTTGAAAAAGTAACTGAAGCTCTCCGAACCTCAGTTTCCTCGTCTATTAAGATGTTTACCAAACACCTATTATATAGGGTTATGAGAGAAAAAAAGTCTGTAAAACACCAAACACAAAGGAACAAGTATTGTGAGTTCCTTCATCCCAACCTGCCCTTCTAGACACCCAGCAAGGCAGAGACCAAAGGCCAGGGGAGAAAAGAAGAGGCAGAGGGGTCAGGCTGGCAGGTCACTCTGTAGTGGCATGTGGCACATCAGGCTACATGGAGCCAGCTCTCTGTCTGGGCTTCCAAGGGTCAGCCAGTTAGTGTTTGGGGTCAGAGCCCAGGTGTCCCAGCCTCCCACCCTGGCCCCCAGGGTTTGATGGGGATGACATGCATCTTGGATTAGGATGGGTAGGTCCACGGTGCAGCCTAAGGTGGGACTGATGTGGGAAAACTGGCTTGAAGGCCTGTCTGCTGCCCCCATCCCAGGCTTCACGTGACCCACATGGTGCCAAGCCCAGCCTTTCCCCAGCCCAATTCAAGCCTGAAGGAGGAGCCTAGCCCTGGGTTTCCAGGGGTGGCTTCATCCCAGTTTCCTGGGGGGATTTAGGACGCTACTTCCTCTCTCTATACCAGACTCTCTTCACATAATGGCCTTGCTACTTGCATAATGAAGAGACTTTGAGGAGGGCAAGAAATGTCCCTGTTGTTGAGCGGGAAGAAGCCTCCTAATTTGAATGGTGGGGGGCTATAGACACAGGAGCCCTACAGGCAACCATCCCTGGGGCCCCAACCCTGCTCAAAGGCAGGCACCAGCACCAAGCTCAGGTCTCACTATCCTGGGCCTGCTCACCGCAAAGCTCCTGGAGTCCTCCCTCCCTTCCCTTTGCCTTGCAGGAGAGCTGGGGCCTGGGTGGAGCTTGGAGAGCAGCACCGTGCTGCCCAGCAGGGAGTGGGGCTGGAGCAGAAGGGGTCACAAGGTTGCACTCTGAGCAAAGCAACCTCCGCTCCTCGCACAAGGGCCGGGGTGGAGCTGGAGCTGAGGGAGTCCATGGGAGGCAAGTGAATACCCCAGCCTTTAATGGGGGCATGACTTCAGAATTTTCACTGGATGCCATAAATTTTCACTGCTCACTGCTGCCTTTCCCATTGCCAGTCCCTACTCAGGAGCTGTAGCTCCTGGGCTGCGAGCAAAGTGTCCTCCACTGATGGATCCCAGCCAAGACCACTGCCCCTTGGCCCACCCCCAGTCACCATGGAAGCCCCGCACCCCTTGGACACTGTCTCTTCCTCTTCCATGGAGACCTCAACTCTGCTGGTCTCAGCACAGGAATCTATCCAGAGAAGGGCAGGTGGGCCTGGGGAGGGGAGACAATGGCTTCACTCAGCCAGAAACTCAGCAGCTTGACAGGGCAAGTGTGCACAGCCCCCAGGTCTGGGATGCCACAGGCTCCCTGAGGTCATTTTACCTCTGCCTTGTCTGGGACAGCCCCTCGGAGCTCTCTGGATCCACTCAGAAGTTTGGTTCTTATCCCAGGACCACCCCCTTCTCAGAGCCCTGGAAAGAAAGGCACTTACCCTACAGCTCTGCCCAGCAGGGATCAGCAGGCCCCAGGCCCTTGAGGAACAGACAGAAGGAAGGCAGGAAACCATGGGGGGCTGGCAGGCAGGGCTCACTTCTCCAGCACCTCCAGAATGACCCATTTTCCCTGGGTGTGGGCATGTGATCCCCTTTGAGATCTGAAAGACCAGGGACATGTTCTGCAAGGCATTCATTAGTTTTAAATGAAGAAGAAAAAGGTTTTACAAACAAATACAGTTTGGGAACACTGGATCAGACAAGGCTTAACAGGCTGCTGGATTCCAGTTCTCAGCACCTTCAGCTCTCCGGGAGGAGAGGCCATGCACAGACTCTCCTGAGGGTAATGAACTAGGACACTTTTATTTTTTTCCATCTCTTTGACCCCACTGTCCCTGGGCCACAGACAGGGAAAGGTGACCCTAGGCCCCTTGACAACTAACCCAGTTGGAGGAAGGCGACAGGAATTCTATGCAGAAGAGGTGTGTGTATTGGTTGTGGGGAGTGGCCTTGTGGGGAGGTGGGGAGCTCCTGACTTCCCCCAAGCATCTGTGCCCAGAAACCTGAGATTTTGCTGTTCCTTTCAGCAACAATAGAAAAGGGTAGGCAGAAGAGGCCATGTGGTTACCCCACGAGGTCAAGGGGGTAGGTAGTTCTGACCAGGGCCATCTCCTCTCCCCTGGGCTCTTCCACAGTCCTGCCCCGGCAGTCTCCATGAGTGAAGGATCTTCCCAGTGTCCTCCTGTCTGGCTGGTGGCTTCCTCCCTCTCTCCAAAGGCGGTGGCACTAGCTACCCAAGGAACACCCTCCTCCCCTCCAAGACCCCTGTGGTCCTTCCGCCACAGTTTCAGGCAGCTCCCCAGGGATGTCTCTGTCAAGTGTCCTCACAAGGGCTTCTGAAGACCCAGGAGCCAGCCTGCCTTGGCTGCAGGCCCCAGTGGGGGCTGTCCTTCTTGCTATAACTCTTCCCCCCTTGGTTCCAGGCCCCAGACTTCTTCCTATGGCCCCGCAGCGGCCACCTCTTCAGCACCTGCCACCCACGCCAGCTACAGTGAGGGTCCTGCCGCCCCTCCACCCAAGCCCCGGGTTGTCACCACTGCCAGCATCCGGCCTTCTGTCTACCAGCCAGGTGAGAGGCAGAGCGGGAGGGGAGGCTGTCTAAGCCATGCGCGGGCTCCAGGAGTTGCAAGAGCCAAGAGGTGGCTCTGGGGTCACATCTCTAGAAGAATGGGCAGCAAGGCCTTGTTAATGAGGCTCCGTCCTCCATCCCCCAGTTATGGGCCAGAATCCTGTGGAGACTTCATCTGGCCTGGGAGAGACAGGTGGGCAAGAATGCAGTGGATGATTCTAAGGGAGACCAAAGGAGGACAGAGGTCTCTCTGGGTCAGGCGTAGTGACTCATGCCTGGAATCCCAGCACTCTGGGAGGCCAAGGCAGGCAGATCACCTGAGGTTGGCAGTTTAAGACCTGCCTGGCCAACATGGCAAAACCCCATCTCTACTAAAAACACAAAAATTAGCCGGAGGTGGTGGCAAACACCTGTAATCCCAGCTACTCGGGAGGATGAGGCCACTGCACTCCAGCCTGGGCGACAGAGTGAGACTCGATCTCAAAAAAAAAAAAAAGTCTTCTTTGTGTCATCGCAGTGTGCGAGAGCTGGCCACAGCTATGGGGATACAGAACAGCACATACGGAGCCTCGACTAGGGAGCAGGTCCTATCCAGGCGCAGCAAGAGACCCCAGGGAAGTTTTCTCTGTGGCTGGAGCCCAGGGAGATGAGACAGGCACTGAGTCGGGGCAGGCGTTGCTTCGGGGGCTGTTTCATGAAGCTCCCTCTTGACAGTGGGGCTGAGTGTGGGCAGCCGAAGCCGCTTTTGCCCAAGACAGAGGCTGGTGTCAGGGCCTGCTCTGCTGTCGAAGGCGAAGCGCCTCATCCGTCCAGGCTGCGATGTTCATAGACACCTCGTGTTCTGGGGATGAAATGAAGCTCCCAGCACAGCGCCTGTCGCACGGGAGGTGCCCTCTGTCCCTACAGAGAAAGGGCAAAGACAGCCTGTTCTGAGGTGGAAACCCCTCAGGGAGAGGGGGCGTTTTGCAGTGGTGAAAAGCAGCGGGAAGCGGCAGCCCCTACGGAGACCTAGAACACGGGGAGGGAGACTGGAGAGGAGTTTGGAGGCGAAGCGGCGAGTGTAGGCGAGGCCTTGCCGGGGCGCAAGGAGGACATTTCCTGGGCAGGCGCTTCTGGCACCTTCCGGGGCGGCCGCCGGCTGTCCTCGCCCAGCCCGCCAGGCGGCGTCAGAGCTCCGGGGGTGCGCGGCCGGCCCGCCCAGCGTCTCCTTCCTCCTCCTCCTCCCCGGGCTGGGGCCCAGGCGGGCGAGACCTGCCGGAGCCGCGAGCCCCCGCGCCATTCCCAGGCCGCGCAGACGTTAACTCATTCCTGCCCGGGGGGAAGGAGGCGGCCGGGCGGGGGCGCGCTGTAGCCGGCCTGCCTTCACCTCCGTCTCCTGGAGGCCCAGCTGCCGAGTGGGTTCCGGGGGCGGCTGGCAGGCGGCCCCGGGCGAAGCGGGGCGTGTAGGCCCGAGACCCCCGTCCGCTCCTCAGCACTCCAGGCTCTTCGGACCCCCGCCTGGAGTGGGGGCGTCGGAGAGGGTGGGAGCCCGCGCAGGACCCGGAGGGCCCCAGACCGCCGCGGCCGCAGCCGCAGCTCTCCCCGGGACCTCCTCCAGGCCGAGGGCGGTGTTAGCAGGCCGGATCTTATCGCTGGCGCCCGAGCTAGGCAGCCGCTCCCCAGAACACATGGGGCCTGGGAGGGGGCGGACGGCGGCGGCGGCTGCTCGGGTACCCTGCGCGCTGGTCGCGGACGGCCACGTTGGCCCGCGGGACGGGCGGCGGCCGGGCGCTCGCGGAGAGCCAGGCCCGGCCCCCAGTGAGTCAGAAATCACCTTGTTTAATTACACATCCCGGTGCCCGCCGAGTGCGATAGAGGCCTTTTGAACTTGCCAATTAGAAATGAAATATCACCTTCTAATTTAGGCTGGTTTAATTCCGTCACGCAGAAATAGCAACAGCCCCGGGGCTCTGAGATGGGATATCAGGTCTCTCTTGGCAGGACGGTGAGCCAGGCCGAAGGATGCAGAGGCTGAGAGCGGCGAAGAGCCGCTGCCTGTTCGCTCCCCTCCGGGAGTGGGGGTTGCGACGTGGGGGGAGCAGAACTACTGGGCCGGGCCACGGAAGCCGGGGAGGTTCCTTTTCTGGGTGGGTACAGCCCCGGGCAAGGAAACCATCAAATCGGGGTCCAGATTCTGGACTGCCTCTGTGAGATCTGTGTGTTGTGGGGACCAGGCGCGGTGGCTCACGCCTGTAATCCCAGCACTTTGGGAGGCCGAGGGGGGCGGATCACAAGGTGAAGAGATCGAGACTATCCTGACCAACACGGTGAAACCCCGTCTCTAATAAAAATACAAAAAATAGCTGGGCGTGGTGGCGCGCGCCTGTAGTCCCAGCTACTCAGGAGGCGGAAGCAAGAGAATTGCTTGAACTCGGGAGGCGGAGATTGCCGTGAGCCGAGATCGCGCCACTGTCTGTACTACAGAGCGAGACTCCTCAAGAGAAAAAAAAGGGGGAGGGGTGGGCAGTGGATCCAGGAGTCTGGAAGGCCTTCCAATGGAGGGAAGTGACTGCCAGCCAGAGGAATAGGGTTAGTATTGCCAGAAGGAGGCAGGAAAGGTGGGACAGGGCCCGATTTACTTGAAAGGGGCGAACTAAAGCCTGTTTTGCTGCCTGGGGAGTTTCTAAGCGGGGATCTGCTGTTGAGTCTGGCTGCCTGAGCTCGTTTCAGCTAGGCAGTTCACCAGCTGAATGGCCTGGAGGCAGTCACTTAAGCTCTCCAAGCCTCAGTTCCTCATCTGTAAAATGGACTTGCAAATGTTATCTGCCTCCTTGGATTGCAGAGAGTAATTACTTGAAATAATGCTTGTAAAGGGGCCTGGGATTCGAAAGCTGTCATTTTAATGAGGGCAGCACCACCAAATAGAAAGAAATTTTCTAGTAGCCACATTTTTAAAAAGTAAAAGAAAGCAAGTGAAATTCATTGTAATATCTTTCCTTTGACTACATTTATTTAAAATATCAGGTGGGGAGCGGTGGCTCACACTTGTAATCCCAGCACTTTGGGAGGCCAAGGTAGGCAGATCACCTGAGGTCAGGAGTTGGAGATCAGCCTTGCTAACATGGTGAAAACTGTCTCTACTAAAAATACAAAAATTAGCCAGGTGTGGTGGCGGGTGCCTGTAATCCCAGCTACTTGGGAGGCTATGGCAGGAGAATCACTCGAACCCAGGAGGCAGAAATTGCTGTGTGCCACTGCACTCCGGCTTGGGCCACAAAGCAAGACTCTGTCTCAAAAAATAAATAAATAATAAAAGATCATTTTAACATACAATCAATATAAAATAATTATTAATAAGTCTTCAAAATCTGGTGTGTGTGTTACACTAAAAGCAATTCTCACTTCTCCGATGGACTAGCCATTTAAAGTGCTGATTGGCCACGCAGCACTATGTATTAGACAGCGCAGGATTAGGGGTTGTGGTCTTAATCTTCCTTTTTTTTTTTTTTTTTTTGAGACAGAGTTTCCATCCTTGTTGTCCAGGCTGGAGTGCAATGGCTTGACCTTGGGTCACTGCAACCTCTGCCTCCCGGGTTCAAGGGATTCTCCTGCCTCGGCCTTCCGAGTAGCTGGGATTACAGGCACCCGCCACTATGCTAGCTAAGTTTTTCTGTATTTTTAGTAGAGACTGGGTTTCACCATCTTGGCCAGCTGGTCTCGAACTCTTGACCTTAGGTGATCCACCCCCTCCTCGGCCTCCCAAAGTGCTGAGATTATAGGTGTGAGGAATGGCACCCAGCTAATCTTAATCTTTTTTAGCAGAGAATTGCACTTTACAAAGAAAGGAAAGGTCCAGGCGATGTGACTCACTCCTGTAATCCCAGCACTTTGGGAGGCCGTGGCAGGTGGATCATCTGAGGTCAGGAGTTTGAAACTAGCCTGACCAACATGGTGAAATCCCATCTCTACTAAAAATACAAAAAATTAGCCTGGTGTGGTGGTGGGTGCCTGTAATCCCAGCTACTTGGGAGGCTGAGGCAGGAGAATCACTTGAACCCGGGAGGTGGAGGTGGCAGTGAGCCAAGATCACGCCATTGCACTCCAGCCTGGACAGCAAGAGTGCAATGAGACTCTGTCTCAAAAAAAAAAAAAAGGAAAGAAAATGTTGCACAGAACCCCCTTGTCCATAATAGAGGGATGAAGCTGCTCTGAAGTTGTACTAGATCACCTCTCCCACTCTCTGTCCCTCGTGGTATTCCTGGAATCCCCTCTTCCCCCAGCATTTTGAGATTCTCTGCTATGCAAAGTTGTTAGGGAGGGTGACAATACCTCAAATCTGGGCTGTACACATTTACCAAATGCATGCACTATGTCACTGTAGCAGATCCCCACCATGCCCAGTGGGGCAGGCAGGGCGTCAGGCATTCCGCCACCAGTGAATAAACCTCAGTCTCAGGTTATCTGACTTTAAGACTTCCCATTTCCCTTCCCTGCTCTCCCCACACCCGATGTCCCCCACCACACACACCCCAGTCTAACTGGGCTAGGCTTCCCCAGGTGAGCAGCAGACCAGGAGACAGGCTGACAATACATCTGACCCTGGGACCAGATTGCCTCCGTCCTTGCCATCCTCACTCACATATAGTGACACACTATGCCTATGCCGGGTACTAGGCTAAGTTCTTTATATTTCTTACCTTCCCTTAATCCTCATAATAACCTTGTGAGATACTAAGAATTATCATTGTCATTTTTAGACAAAGAAATTGAGGCCCAGAGAGGTTAAGGAATTTGCCCAAGGACACAGAACCAGGAGGTGGTAGAGCTGGGTCCTGCAGCCGGGGCTCTTGGCTGTGCTCTCAAGACCCCACAGCATGGGGTTTCCTCCGAGTTGAAAATGATCCTCCCTGACAGGTTGCACCGAGACTTTCTGGAAACTGGACTCATGTTCCTTACAGAGGCAGCTTGGGATGGTAGACTAAATGGTTTTAAAGACGTATTCCCACTGACTAGCTCTGTCTGAGCCTCAGTGACCTCAAATGGAAAGGGGGAATAATGGGAAGACCGATTCAGATGGCGTGCTATGTGCCTCATTACCCCCTAAACATGAGGAAGATTCCTTTTGGAGAAGGTATTACCTTTTGAAGGCCTCACTCACAGGACGGCTTCAGGGCTGGGCTGTGAAGGGCTTTATCTCTTTTCTTCCTTCAATAACATGGATGGATCCTATCTACCTGGTCCCTACTCACCCCCAGCACAGGGGTTTCCAGGTCACCCAGCTCTGAAGGGTGGGTCACCTGGGAGTGGAAGGTGCAGAGTAGGAACCACAGGCTGCCCCGGGTGGCCCAGGGGATCCAGATGGAAAAGAGAGACTGGAGGTGGGGCCAGGGTCTTAAGCCCTAAGGATAACCTTCCTCTTTAGGTTGAGGCTGGAGTGCGGGGTCGGGGGCAAGAGTGGGGCGTGGGGGTGTGGGAACTGCCTTAGCACAGTCCATCCTGCCCAGGCTGAGCTTAGGAATGGGGAGGGAGGCTGCACTGACATGCTTCCTAGGGTGGGGGGAATGAGGCCTCTTTCTGGAAGAGCAGACTGAAATGAGGTGAGGCTTCTGGAACCTCCCTCACTGGAAGAGGAGGCCAGCTGGACCTTGTGTACAGGGCACAGCTGGGTCTGTCCTGGCTAAGTGTTGAGGGCCCAGGCCTGAGAGGGCTTTGGGTAAGCAGTTGCAATGCTTTTTCTGTGCTGTGACCCCAAAAAGGTTTTCTGCTCTCAGGGAGCTGGAGGAGGGGGTGGCAGAAATGAGGTAGCGCCTTCTCTTCCCTGCACTCTGACTGCCTGCGCAATCTCTACAGTCACTCTCAGCTTCTAGCAAAGCGATATGGAGGTCCAGAGGTCCCCAGGGCAGCCACGGGCCAAGCAAACAGCTGCACCTGGGCTGTGTCACCCTAGAGTGTCTGCCCAGCACCCTCAAAATGCCTTATTCAAGATCCCCCACCCTAATCAAACCAAGACGGAATTTCTCCCCAATACAAATCAAGCCAAGCTGTTTTTCAAGAAAGTAATTGTAGCCAAACCTGAAACCTGAACCTGAAAACCCAGCTGCTGGGTCATCTGCTTTGTCCTGAGGGCTGAACTAGGTCCAAGTTCAGCAAACTCCTGCCAAGGGAGGTATTTCAGATGTCAAATCACTGGTCAGAGTGCAACAGAAAGTTTCTCACAGTCAAGAGTGAGCTGACACACTCCCACCTATCCCTGCCCAGGTACCCCCAACCCCACTCCCTGTCTTACGCAGGCCTTGGGCAGCCAAGGCCTGGTGGAGCCCCACCCTGCACAGCTGCAGATATTTATAGCCTGTCCCTTTTCCAGCCCTTTCCACGCTCGCTGGGCTGTGCTTGCTCTCTAGCTCCCTGGACACCCTGCTGAGAATCAGATCTGGGCCATCAAGAAGTTCAGGAACAAATCTCCTGAAAAAACTGAAATCGTACTACTCTAATGTTGAAGTCACCTTGTGCATTTCTCTGGCTGGGAGTGAGGGGAACTGGGAAAAATTAATTCCTGACACATCTTTCTTTGGGTTTTTTTGGCTTGCAGTGCCTGCATCTACCTACAGCCCATCCCCAGGGGCCAATTACAGTCCAACTCCCTATACCCCCTCGCCTGCCCCTGCCTACACTCCCTCACCTACCCCTGCCTATACCCCCTCACCTGCCCCCACCTACACTCCATCCCCAGCACCAACATATAACCCTTCACCTGCCCCCAACTATAACCCTGCATCCTCTGCGGCCTACAGCGGGGGCCCTGCAGAGCCTGCCAGCCGTCCTCCCTGGGTGGCAGATGACAGCTTCTCCCAGAAGTTTGCCCCTGGCAAGAGCACCACCTCCATCAGCAAGCAGAGCCTGCCCCGTGGGGGCACAGCCTACACCCCAGCGGGTCCCCAGGTGCCACCACTTGCCAGGGGGACCGTCCAGAGGGCTGAGCGCTTCCCAGCCAGCAGCCGGACTCCACTCTGTGGCCACTGCAACAACGTCATCCGGTATGGTCCTGCTGTGCCCCTGCACTGGGGCACTGGGAGGGCGTGTGTGCGGGGTGCTTGCCCATAGTCTGAGCCCTGGTGGAGAGAGATAGGGGTAGGAGGCAGGTGTAGGGAGAAAGCCTTGGTTCCTTCTAGCTTGCCCTCTGGTCTGGCTTTCTGAGCCATAGCTTCCATACCTGTGTGACACCCACTCCCCTGGGGAGCTGGGAGGATGGCATGAGGTTCATGGGTGAAGCTCCAGCAGGCTGCCTGGTGCCAGGAGCTCCCCCTTGGGCTAAGGCCGAGTTCTGGGAATCACCAGTCTTGTCAGTAGGTTTACGGGGCATGTTGTAAGA